CTCAGGGGCCCTGAAAACCCTCTGGAGAGATGCCCAAAGGGTCGGTGGGTTTCCTGGGGACACTGGGACGCTGCCCCGGGACGGGGGTGACACCGCTCCCCAGTGCGGGCTGTGGGGTGGCCCGGGCAGGACGGGCAAAGAGATGACTCAGCTTCCCGGATATGGGGTGAGCTTCAGCCTCACAGCCCCCTCACCCTCCTCACACCCCGGGACACCCTCGTCCTCCTCTCCCCCTCCAGGCCCCATCCACCCGTGCCACGAGACCCGCGGAGTCACCGGGTGGAAAACCCCGGGTGGGAGCGACGGTGCCGCCGGCGTCCCCGCTGTCCCCATCCGCAGCCCCGTGCACGGTGAGGTCCCGGGGGGCTGAGCCCAGCCCAGCCAACCCCCCCCCGATGTTTCTGCTCTGCCCGAGGCGCTCCCCGCAGCATCCCAGCACGGTCCGTGCTTGCGCCGGGAGCTGCGGGATCGTAACCAAGCGCCCGCTGGGCCGGCTCGTGGGCACACACGGACCTGGCGCCTCTTCTGCCACCACGACCCCCGTTCTGCAGCCCCTCTGCTGTGACACAAGAGCAGAATACGCTCGACTTTTCAACCGCTTTCTTCTGCCTAAAGAAAAAGCTGTGCCTTGCCCGAGCCAGTCCTCTTCCCTGCGCCTTACTGAAGGACAAAAGTCCTCCCCTGCGAACCCCGGCAGCGGCAAGGCCAGAGCAAGCAGTGCAGGGTGTGAAGGGAGCCCGGCACGAAGAGCGGACGCTCCCCAGCCCGTCGGGATCCAGCACCTCTCCCAGGGGGGCTCTTGGTGCCACCCCATTGCATCGCCCCCGTCCCCGCTCAGCCGCCAGCAAAGCCCAAAGCTGACACGACTCCACCTGCGCCGACGGCGAGACGGCGGCTGCTGCTCCCCGCAAGCCCAGCTCTGCGCACGCCCCACCCCGCTCCCCCAAAAGGCTGCCCTGCTCCCAGAGATGTGCACGCCAGCACCCAGAAAACGCCTGCTCTGAAGGGCGACCGAGCGCTGGAGTAAAGCAGGGCTCAAAGAAGCCACGGTTACTGGTCCAGACTGGGCGGGTGGCAGAGTCCCCAGGAGGGACTGGGCTGGCGCCGCCCAGCAGGATGGGTTCTGAGATGCCATGGGGCCCGCTGAGCGCCTCGTACTCACCCTCTTACATCTCTTAAACCCAGCTACAGAGCTGAGAGGGGCTGCGGTGCGAAGCCACCCTGCCTCGCGTGAACCTCGGGGCTACAGCAGCCGCAGCCCCATGGGGAGCGGGGAGCCCTGTGCGCAGCGAGGGACCCGCCTCACTCCCCTCTGCCCCGCACCCCGTGCCACCCGGCAGCATCTTTGGCACATCTTTGTCCCAGTAAGCAGCAGGTCTCTGCCCACTTGTAGCACCCTTTTATCTGAGAACTTCCCACGTCTGTGGAAATTTCCCTGACTGAAGACTTAACCCCTGAAGAGCGATTCTTTCAACGTGGAAACTGAGACAGAGAGGTTTTTGGGGACTAATTGGGCTGGACAGACTGGCTTAGATCAGAGCTGGGAAGGGAAGGTTGTTCCCTCTCCAACGACGTTTTAATTAGACAACACTGCTTTTCTGTCTGGGCATACATTAATTATACAGATTACCTGCAACGCGGGCAGGCGCTTTAGACAGTCCTGGCTGAACTTGTTCAGCTCATTAGAGCGACAGGACGGCAGGCTGCCGGAGCGACTGCCTTCAGGCCAGAACTGAGCAGGCGCTGAGGTTTATCAGACCAAATTCTAACGAGGTACGATGGCCGGGAGCTGGCGTCCTGTCGGAATCGAAGGGCGAGCTTTGAGAGCGCTGAGGCAGGCACACGTGGGGCAGCTTATCCCACGGCGGGTGGATTTTTCCATCCCCGGAGTTTTAAGATTGAAGAGTGAAGGGAGAGGCTTCCTAAATCGAAATTATTAATAGAGAGAAATTCTTCTGACCTACTTTCTGTTGCGCAGGAGGTCGGTGGTTGCTCCTTTTTTGACCTCTAAAAGCGCTGAGCGCACGCTCTTTCAGCAAAGCCCCTTCTGGGGACAAGACGTTGGTTCTCACAGAATTACAAATCCGAGAGGAAAACCCAGGGCCTGACTGAAGCCGCTCAGGTAGGGCTGAGTGGGTTTGCAAGGCAAAGTCTCACACAGACCTTCTGAAAGGTCCACCCGGATTCCCTGCCAATACAGGTATTGATCTCCCAGTCCCGGGGCAACGCTCTGGGGCAGGAGACTCTGCAGACGGCATTTTGCAAGGCGCTGGCTCCGCCAGCCGAGATGGCTTTGAAGACGGGAGCAGCCGCAGCCGTTGCATGTGACGCACACCCACAGCCCGCCGAGGAGGGGATAACTTAACTCCCTTTTGCGATACCTGAGCATGGGCACCGAAAGTTTGTTACTCCAGGATCGTGGGAGATTTTTTTGTGACTCCTACAAGAGACGCAAGTTTCTCATCTGGGCTTCACGCAAACAAAATTAAATTTACTGTTCAATTAAGTTCTGCTGCTCTTCATCTTGCCCAGCCTCTGATTCATCCAGCCAGCGCACAGAGTGCTCAGCTCCGACGAGAAGAAAGTCTATGAAACTACTAAAAGCGTATTTGCAAGAAACCAGGACAAACATTACAAGCTGATTTCCGTCAGCGATTGCGAACACGGCTGCAGCAAACACAGCTCAGGTACCCAGGGGAGTTGTACTGAAAAAAAAAAAAGTCCCAAGAAGCAGAAGTAGATCTTTTTTTCTTTTCAGTTGTGAAAAACGAAAGCCCCGTAACAGTTAGTCAACAACACTGAATCTGCCCTAGAGCACAGGATGGAATTAATAAGTTTGAAGGTTATTTCAAATACAAAGCAGGCATGAGATCTTGCCCACCTGAGTCGCATTTCTGGAGCGGGAGGGAAGAGATTTCATGGTCAAACTCCTTCGGAGGCATTTCATTTAGAAAGGACCAATATTTCTAGAAAGGACCGGTATTTCGAAAGCCAGACCCAAATGTCACAAAACTTGGACGGATGCACGCTTCCAATTACAGCCCTGCTCCTTGGTCAGATGCTGGAGTGGTCTTTGAGAAAATCTAATACAAAAACCTTAAGGTAAGCGACCTGCCTGCTCACACCGCGTGGCTTTGGTCGAGGCTGACATCATTTCAGCATGTTTCTTTCTTCTCACCCTTCTGCAATTGCTGGCAATGCACTCACTTGGGCAGAGAAGTACATTTCTAAGCAGAAATCGAGAACCTGCTGGAGAGATTTTCTGCAGAGCTGAGCTGCAGCAGGACCTGGGCTCTGGCGAGGCCCCGGGGCTGCAGGTATGGGAGGCCAGATCCAAAATACAGGATGGGGGTACTAAGGAGAAACAAGTTTTCTCGAGAATCACCCACCTACCTACCAGAAGGGTTTTCTTGCCACGGATTCAGTAGTTTTACATCACTTCGGGTTTAGAGAGGACAGCACTGCAGTGCCCACACTCTCCCAAGCCTCCTCACCTGCAGGCAGGACTCAGCAGTTCCCCAAATCTAGTCCCAAGACTGCAGTCCCCCTCCCTACAGACCACTGGAAATTTTTCCGTTGAAAAAAAAACCAATACCACCACACCTCCGAACTCAGCAACTCATCCACCACAAAAATAACCGGTTCCCCCTCAACCTCTAGACTCGAGCCGCGGGACCCCAGCAGCGTTGCCAAGCTCCGGCACCTTTTAGTCCTTTGTAAGCCCACAAAGCCTGCAGCCCTCCTCGCAGCCGACTGAAAGTTCAACCCAGTTGATGCTTCCCCGCTGCAGCACAGGAATCCTGCCTGGCCAGTCTAGCTAGATGCAACAGCATCTCCCACAACGCTGCCATTTCTATATAGATTAGGATTTTTATTTTTTTTTTAAAGTGTCTTTTTCAACCCCTGGTTTAGCTGCAGACACCCAGGTTCGCCGGGCGAGAAAGCGGACGCCACTTACTTTGCAAACTCAAAAGCTGGTGAGCGCGAAGCGCGGGGATCCGATCATGCTCTCCTCCTCCTCGCCAGCCAACCTGGAGAATCTTCTTTTACCCGGCGGTTATTCCTAACTAGGCGTTCCCGAACGTTTCAAACATCTCGATCTGAGCTCTCCCGCTCCTCTTCAGCCCCCGGAGCAGGCAGCTCTGAGCAGACACGGTGCAGCACACACCACAGCTCGCTTCCTGGCCCGCCGGGGTGGCTGCTGCACCCAAGGGGAGGTTGGGTTTCTCCCCGCCTTGGCTGCGAGCTCCCAGCACACAAGAGCACCCTCTGCCGCGCTCTGCTCCCCACCCAGCTGGTTTTGGTGCCAGCTCTCTATCCGCGGGGCAAGAGAAGGAAAGAATGGGTTGCCACAGATTGTCATTACCTTGCAAATGAACAACACCTTACAAGGAGAGAGGGGAGGACGGGGAAAAAAAAAAACAACAAAACAACTTTATTCACCAGTGACGTGAATTGTCTTGGGTGGGAGGCAGCAGGCGCTTGAATAGGAGACAAGTGAGGGTGTGGAAATCCCAAGGAAAGGTCAAAATACGATTCAGCTGAGACACGGGGTTAAGACACCCAATTCTCAAAGAGATGATGGTGTTAAATAGTGTCAGAGCACAGAGCAAACGTGAGAAATTTCCCTGCCCAGCTCGGCTCAGCACTCACGGGCCACTTCAGCGAGCACCCATGGTAAGCTAGGCACATTAATCCTCATCACCACTCAACACTTGAGTGTGGGAAACAAACAGTCATTTGTGAGGGAAGGGCACTGAGCAACCATTGTTAAACCCTCGAGCGAAGCCGAGCGCACGGAGAACACAAATCCAGAACAATGAAGACAGCACGGCCGATGCACTTCGAGAGGGACGCCCAAGTGCTCAGGGCAGCCCACGCCACCTTCACACCCACACCGTGCCCGTCCCAGCGGCACCCCAGCGCCTTCCAAGAGGAGAAGTCACTCAAACAGGTTTCCTGAAGACGTTCACCTTGTTTACTTTTGCTGTTGCTGTGTTTTCTGAGGTGTGTCTGCAGCAATGCTGAATCCCACGTGACTCGAACAACTCCGATTGTATCTCCTCCAGCCTCAGATTTTCTGACCCTGCAAGGAGGTGCAGCCCTGCCCGGGCTGACCGCTTTATAAGTTTCTTAGGAAAAGATAATTTAAAAAAAAAAAAAAGGTGGTACTAAAGGAGCAAAACTTTTAGTTAGAAAAATGATTCGCAGAATAAAAGGAAATCGACTTCTTAAATTAAAAGAAAAATGTGTCCTTAAGATACTGGCATGAAATCGCAAACAAATTTTCTTTTAAAAAAGCAATTACAATGTACAAGTCCCACCAGAAACAGAGTCTGATGAAACCACCATCTCCTCTGGGGCAAGGACTGGCTGCCAGACACAGAATATAACCTAGGGGGGAAGGCATCCTCCTCCCTGCCCAGAGACCCTCCCGGCTGCAGGGCAGGGCACTGCCCGCCTGGCCCGCTGCCCCCCCAGCCTGAACCCTCCCGCAGCAGGGCTGCACGGGGGGCACACCCAGCTCGCCCCGCCCCGAGCTCTGTGCTCAGCCGGGGCCCAGGCCCACCTGCATCTGGGTCCTCAGGTATTTTTAAGAAAAGGACCCCCGTTCAGCGAGCTACCTAGGACAGAAACACTCAAGTAACGATGGCAAAACTGACAAGGTTCCCTGCGGAGTCGTCCCGAGCTAGGAGGTTTGGGAATCCGTTACTCTGCTCTCTTAGGCCCCCAACTTTGGCACTCTACTTGTGGAACCACGCAGCTTTCCATGCCAAGTCAACGAGTTGGGCTATAGCATGTCCTAGGGATACTCTTACAGTCAAACTGATGAAATCTGACGCTGGAGGCCACTAGTACCCACCTCCAAGCTGCCAGTTTTCTGTCTATTCATTACACTCGGGCTATAAGGAACTGCTCCTCCAAAAAATGGAATTCTCAGATAAATCCCATAGCAAAAAAACAGAAGGTGGAGAGCAGCTGAAGCAATTTGCTGTTGTTTTCACCCACCACAAGCCTTTTCTGCTTCACCAGAATGTGCTCGGGACCCTGCCTCTGCTTGCGTTCGTCGGTTGGCTGCAAACACAAGTCACAGTTGATGGCAGGATGTGGGGCTCTCAAAGCCCCTCCCCAGCGGGTTCGTCGCCAGCAGTGGCATCCCCGAGCAGCCACGGACTCTGGATGGAGCTGCCACCGCAGCCGTAACAGAGGGAAGGAGTGCGCAAGAGAGCAGAGAATCGTATTTCTTGTAGCTAGTCCTTCCGCAGGGCTCAGGCTTATGGAAGGTTTCCAGGGCTGGACGGATGTGTGCTCCCCCCCCCACCACCTCCCAGCTGAGCTCAGAAGCATCTAGTTTTAGAAACTGCTGCTTTTCAGCCCAGTTTTTAGGCTGGGCAGCCTGAGGCCCAGAGGAGCAGGATGGCTCACCCAGGCTCTGAGGCCGCGAGCACAGGGGCTGGCTAAAAGGACAATCACTGCAGTCAGACGCCTTCCCTGGAGACTAGAACTCAGTCATCTTCTTATGCGTGTCTGCTTTCTTCTGCTCCCGCTGCAGACTGGCTTCCTGGGCCTGCAGCTGCCCCAGCTGTTTGTGGGCATTAGCCAGCTTCTCCTCCAGCTGAGCTGTAGCAACGCTGTGCCTGAAAGCAAAAAGCATTACAGCAACGTCATCCCGGAGGGTAAGATCAAAGGCCTGTCACCAGCCCAGGGGGGTTTGCCCTTTCCTGCGGGATTAGCACAAGTGACCTGCTGGAAGCCAGGAAAAACCTGATGCTCAGCACAACCTGGGCTAGAAAATGTCCTCCTGGGACGCTCGACAGCAGCGCTGCGGAGATGGGCATGAGAAGGAAAGGATGCCAGCACCTTTCCTCTGAGAGCTCCTCTCGTCACAGCCTGAGTTCCAGCCAAAGGACCTCAAACACATCTGACAGCGTCCAAGCTGATCTGAGCTAAAGTCTCTCCCCTCCACTTCCCCTTAGGTCTCACCCATGTTATGCTTCACTTGTTCCTCCCACACCTCATTTCAAGCCCACCCCTTCCCAGAAGCACCCAGAATTCATCCTGCAGTCCCAAAGAGCACGTTTTCCTACCGTCCAACGTTGCGTGCCAGGGCCTGCTGGATTCCTCTGATATCCTTCTGCGTCTGCTCAATCTTCTCCATCGTCTGGAAGAGGCGGACACTCAGGGCCTTCTTGGTGCTCTTGCTAGCGTGATAGATCTCTTTGCTGTTCCTCTCGGGCAGTGCCATCCCTCCAGCCTTCTCCCCACTACTCTTCCCTCGCAGTTTCTCATTCAAAAAGTCAAACACGTTGTGGGAAGGTTTACGGCTGCCCCCAGGGGATCGTCCAGAGCTGTTTCCCTTCGCTCGGCATTTCCTCGATTTCCCTGGGTCCAACTTCCCCTGTTTCTTCTTCTGAAGCACCTCAGCACACTGGTCGAGGGACTTCCCCCGAGGAAGTACCACAGCCTGCACCGGCTCCACACGGCCCTCGGCGTTCTTCCCTAACCCTGAGGAGAGACAGCAAGAGATTACTGCAAGCGAGGACAATCGTCCTCTGCAACTCCCTGCCAGGAGGGGGCAGAGAGGGGGGGTGAGTCTCTGGAGCCAAGGCCCCAACGCCAGGCCCCGAGGGAATGGCCTCAAGCTGCCCAGGGCAGGGTCAGGCTGGCTCTGAGGAAGGATTTCTGTGCAGAAGGGGCTGTTGGGCGTTGGAATGGGCTGCCCAGGGCAGGGGGGAGTCCCCGGGATCCCTGGGGGGGTTGAAGAGTCGGGCTGAGCCAGCGCTGAGGGATCTGGGGGAGCTGGGAACGGTCAGGGGGAGGGTCACGGTTGGGCTGGAGGAGCTTCAGGGGCTTTTCCAACCCAGATGATTCTGGGACTGTGTGACATCCCCTCTCCAAGTCACCTCTCGCCACAAGCTCACACCAACAGTCACAAGCTTGGAACGAGCAAACAGGCTTTTGAGGTACAGAAAGCTGTAAGTACCACCCAAGGTAAGGGCAGCAGCAAAGGCCACAGCGAGGTGGATGCAGATGCTACGACAGGAGCCTCCTACAGCAGAAGAAAGTGATAAAAAGCCTGAGGCCATTCATCAGGCCGGTTTCTGTGAAACTAGGTTCAGCCTCACAGTCTCAGCTTCTCAAGCCAGGTTCTTCTTAAAACTGGTTTGGTTCCTCTGGGAGAACTAGAGACGAATGCAAGTAGCAGATTGCCCTCCTAAAGCCCCCAAGGCTCAATACAATTTGTGTAGTGAGAAGCTAGTTCAGCAGGCTTTGAAGTCTGCGTCTAGAGCCAGGAGATGCTTTAACACAGACATCAGAAGCTTCATAGCAGTTCCCTTCTACCTGAAGCCTTTGAACGTCTCATACAACAGTTCTCACGGCTTTAATCATGAACTTGACCACGGTTCCAAATGCCTCCCATTTCTGCTATTACCATACAGGGGTTGGTGCACACATACGCCTGTACTTCGATTAAATAAGTTATCCCTTCTCATCTTCTAACATGGCTGGGATTTGTCACATTGCTTGAGCCTTATTAATCCGGCCCCTCAGAAAAGTTTCAGCCTCATCCAAAATCTTGTTTTTCTTAATTAGTTTTAGGATCCATCAAGGCAGTCAGGCTCTCGCAGCACCCTTCTCCCCTCACCTTTTCCAAACTCGTATCCCATCTGAACGAGCAGTTTGGAGCCGATACCACGAGTATGGGCTTCCCAGCCACCGAAAGAGGAGCTGCACGCTGGAGTCCATTCCCCATTCTCTGGAACTCCCGAATCTACCACTGTGACATGGAAGGGATGAATCAGCGAAACACAGAAACAAAGCTGCTACACAAAACCTTCCTCTGGGGCACCCCCCCAGCACGAAAACCCCTCACGAGGCAGTACAATAAGCTTCTCCCACCCTAGAACTATTTGTCTGCTCCTCCAGCCTTAATTAGTTCCTTCTGAGCTCTCACCTTTTATGAACACTGCGTAGCGAGTCACTTCAATGGGAGACCTCATTTGATTTAATGCACATACCATCCACAGTTCCAGGCAGAATCATCCACATGTTTTTACACTTCCTTTCCTTCCTTCTAGGATGGTGATACAGGCTGACACGTACCGTCAGGGTACAGTGTTTGGCACAGTGGCATGTAATCCTTCTTCTGTGCCTCCAGCTCATGTCTTTGGTACGAGACTCCTCTAGGCCACAATGCTAATTTTGTGTTATTAGGATCCAATAATCTCTATTATCCTAAATTAAAGAGCTCTAGGACACAACTTTGTCCCTGTGACATTAGTGTGGCCCTAGCACAGGGACAGTGCTGTGTAATCTCAAAGTAGTCACTTGGGCTCTCTCTGTGTCAGCTTTCAATAGCGAAACAGGGCATGGCAGCTCCTGTGACCTCATCGAGGCACTGGACGGACCAAACACTCTCAAGTTCTGGGGTCTTGTGTGCCCTGGAGCTGCACGGAGCTCCCAGAGGTGAGGAGTCTCCTAATTCACTTATTAGCTCAACCCAGCCAGGCGCAGGAGAAACAGACTTGGAGCCTGGAACTCGGCTCTAAAATATCACACCCTCTTCTTTCATGTGTTGCAAGTTCCCATGGAAACCTCCAACCCTCATTAGCCCAGTAATTTGCATAAAAGAAATATTTTAGCTTGCAATTGTAACATAATAGCTAATTACCATTCTCTATCTTTCAGCAACGTATGAAGCGATTAGCTACTCTTTCATCAGAGGTGAGACACTTATAATGAAAGCTCCAGGAGAGTAATTCAGTAGCTCCCAGAGAAGGGCAAACCTAGATCACAAGTTGCTCTTGCTCACGCCGTCCCTCCTCTCTTACCTTTAGCATAACCAGAATCATCCACGCTGTCGTCATCAGACTCGGCAGATTCGGCACCATCTTCGCTTCGCAGTGGGGGAATGACACTGTCCCCTTCCACAACAGCTTCCTTGAGCAGCAGGGAATCAAACTTCACCGTGTAGTAACCACTGTCGATGTCTACAGAAGGAAAAGCAAGGAACAAGAGTTCCAGTATGTCTCCAATATGCAACTGGCAGAGGGCTTTCTAAAACAGAGGTAGCTCCAGTGAGGCACAGTGGGAGAGGGGCAAGGCCCAAGGCAAACATGTTTTAAAAAATTCTGGTTTTTCTTTGTGCTTTAGATTTCTGTCTGGGAGGGAGAAGCACCCACCGCCATGAAAAGCTCTTTCCACAATCCCTGTGTTGATACTTAAAGGTTTATTTCTAAAAATGAAGAAAGGTGGGCTGCTGAGGAGTGGAATTAAAGAGAAGTTAGACATGCTCCACTCTGACCTAATAATAGTCAAAGAAAGATGGAAACAGAACCTAAACCCTCGCCCTTCGCAGGACTCAGGGAAGCCAGTATCAGCAGCCGACGGGCAGGGCCAGCTCCCCTGGCTTCTGTTTAAACAAGAGCAGATTATTGCACTTCTAATCTAATACGCATGCAAATCCCCACGATACTTGTCTCTTCCCCTTTCGGTGCAGTTAATGTAGTCATTTCCTTCCCACATTCCTGCTCTTATGTCTCCTTTTTAATTCTAACACTCTCCTCTTTTCTAGCCTACACCCTGCCCAAGCCTGACAAAATTCAGATCGTTTTGTCAGCTACGTCAAGATTTTCAGTTTAGGGATGCAGTTACATAGTTAATGTTTTTCTACCATTAGCCAAAATGGTCAAGTTTTACATTCACTTAAGCATCAGCCTTCGTTTTCCACACAGAATCCTGGCCCGAACCCGACTCACCGGTTATTTTTGCCGTGTACCATATCCCATCGCTGTGTTTCGCCAGGCAGGCCGAGCCCACCCCCAGCATGCTCAGGTTGGGCTCCTGGAATGGCTGAAGCTCTTCCACAGAGACCACCTGGCCGTGCGAAAACCTGCCCGGGAGGGTGGAAGAGGAATTATCTCTACCTCATTTAAGCAGGCTTTCAACAAAAATTCCTTCCTTCCTTAAATGTAAATGAGTTGTCAGTGGTGATGAATCTTCACCAGTCATTACTGAAGTTTGATTGTGAGTTATTTCAATGACACAACTTACTCATTTTTCATCTTAAACGTATTATTTGCGTCACGTAACAAACAATCCATCCCGCCCCAGAGAATTAAGCTCTCCTTGCTAGTGACACATCCAGTAAAAAAGTTCACAGGACCTTTGAGATAAACAGGACCACACAGACACGCAGGTCTCTACTCCAACCTCATGCTCCAAGCACAACCGACTTCAAAGACCGATCAGGTTGCTCAAGAGTTAAATTCTGAAGATCTCCAAAGATGAGATCTTCAAAGGAGACTCTACAGCCTCTCTGTGCAACTGGAACGTATGCACTATCAACAGACAAGCTATGGTGTGTTTTTTTTAAAAATCCTTAATCAGTTATTAATTTAGCCACTTGATTGTAAAATCTCTCCAACCTTCCCATGGGATTTTCCATTTCATCTCTGCATTAGCTAAAGAAAACAGCCAAACTGACGTCACTGTTTACCATAACACATTTTAAAAAACATAAACAAAGGCAAACTTTCATTGAGTGAAAAAGCCAAACAGGGTACTTTCAGAGAAGGTTTATCCCTTTGAACCACAAGGCCTTTAGCTACAGGAAGGACATAAGCCCCTTCCCACCCCTTTTCTCTTTTTTACCGACAGTTCTCTTTAAATCTGCATTTGTCATCCAAGAAGAACGGGCACGGCTTCAGAGACTTGTGAGTTGGATAGAGGTACAGCACTCTGACTCCTGCACTGCCATCTTCCAAGTCCTCTGTCCCCACAATCATGGCGTTATGGTACTCCAGGGTCCCCCAAGAACTGTAGTAGGGGGCTTTAACCTTCATCCCACTTAATTCCTCCTCCTCCTCCTCCTCTCTGTCAGACTCCTCTTCCTCTTCACTGCACTTTGATTCGGTTTTGTCATCAGTTACTTCATCTCTCTTTGATATCTCGCTGTTATCAGCCAAAGGCTTCTCCTCAGTTCCAAGCTCGGCAATGGCCTCCTTAAAAGCAGCGTACTCCACATCCTGGCCAGAACTATCTGGGTTGGTGTCCTGCTCCAGACCTGGGGAGGAGGAGGAGGAAGCATTTGTATCTAAAGTAGCCAGAAGTTTGCTCTTTTTAACAGACACCAGGCTGGATTCAGTCAGTTCTATTAGCTGCTTTAAATCTTCCTGCAACTGAATCAAGTCCGACTGCTGCGATGGGTCCAGGCCTGCCCCTAAAGCCAGCTCCACTTGCTGCAGCTGGGCATTATAGGTCTGAATGGCTGCTTCCAGACTCTCTTCATCCATTATCAGCAAAACAAAGGTGTGTTTAACTGTGTCCTTTCCGGGAACTCAGAACATGCTCAAAGAGTTTACTTAAGATGAGCAACTTTTTGGATAACAAGCCCTCGTCCGCAGAAGCTACCATCTACCCCGCCGTCCCGCTTCTTCCCTCGGAAGTGACCAGGCCGATGCTCCTGCAGCAAAGAGGCGGCGAAAGGCGATGAGAGCCCGAGGAGAGGCCAGGCCAGGCCCTGCCCTCCCCCGCCACGGCGCCTACCGGAGCCCACCGGGCTCACACACGTCACCGCTTCTCCCGTGGCTTAGACACTCGCGGCGCGATCCCTCCAACGCGGGGCCGGCAGCAGCTCCCCAACCTGACCCTGCCAAGGCCGCTCCACTCACCCCTCAGCTCCCCCTTCCCCTACAGCGCCGCCGCCATGACACCCCACTCGCTTCCGGCCTCCGCCCCGCCCACTTCCGGCTTCCTCACAACGCGCTACGCCACTCAGCCGCGAGCCTGCCCCCTCTACTGCGCCTGCGCACAAACGGGAAGGTTGTCCTGGGGCGCTGAGCATTCTGGGAGTTGTAGTCCACCCGGCCCTGCCGCACCGCCCCCGCCGCGGCGCGAGAACTACATTTCCCAGAGTGCCGCGCGAGGGGATGGCGCCGGCGGCCGGCGCCGGTGGGCAGCGCTGAGGAGCTGTGGCGGGAGGTGTTTGCGGTGCCTGGTGAGGGGCCGCGCGTTGCGGGCGCTGTCCT